AGTCTGACCTCCCTCTCTCCTGTCTGTAGATTCAGCCTCACATGGGAACCAGCTGGCACTGCCTGGCCTGTACAAACACAGCAGACACACACACAGTGTCTAAAACAGAGATTTTCTTTTTTGTCTTCATGCTATTTGCCAACAGTATGACAGAGCTGCATTTCCACACACTGCACCACAAAACTTAAACCTGCTCAAGAAGAGCTCTTCCCAGAATCATCAAACATTAGCAGTTTAATGTCGGAGCAGATACATGAAACAGAAATTACAAATTGTACTCAAAGAAATAGAGAGTACTGGTGCAGGACAGAATAATATCATTCATTTATTGCTATAGTCAAAATTAGCTTCTTAACATGAATGTTTTCTGGTTAGTTTCCTCCTCCTAGACAGTAAAGTGAATATCTTTGGGTTGTGGACAAAACAAGTGATTGAGAGCCTCATCTTGAAGCTGTCCAGGTGAAGTAGCTCCTCCAGTTATTTCTCTCACGAGCTCAAAACCGTTCATCATGTGTCTTACTGATAATATAATGTTCAGGTTCTCTATTCAGACATGTAGAGTGTGCTTTTATTACCTGACAGTTTCAGCGAAAATTCTCGCCTTCTTCAGAGATGACACTGCCAGCGAGTGACGTGTCAGCCGGCAGATTTTGACAGCCGGCACCTGCGTCAGGTAATAACGGCACACTCTACATGTCTGAATAGAGGACCTGGACATTATATTTCTCTCACTGCAGTGAAACAAAACTTTTCCTGAGCAGCTCCAACCAGAGGCAGTCAGCTGTACTTTATACTAAATGATAACACAGAACACCCTATTTCTGTGGTTCTGAGTAAATGAAAATGTTAGAAAGTGAAAAAAAGACTAAAGTAGTCCAAAAGCTGCATGTCAATAAAACCGTGTGAACAGTACAAACAGGTCACGTTCCAGCTACCTGGTCTGAGCGTCTGCCACTGCTCAGTCGGCTGGGCGACCTCGAAATCCTCTTCATCGTCAACAACCTTCACCTCCTCTTCTTCATCAGCACCGCCTCCTCCTCCTCCTCCTCCTCCTGCTGTGTTCTCCACCACAGTTAAGGCGCCTTCAGACTGCACTCACACACAAAAAGCAGAGATAATTAACTGCACCCTTGGACTCAACACGTCTGTTTAGACTTTATTTTAATTATCTGGTATCGTGTATCATATTCAATTTTGCGACGAGGACCGCTGCACCTCAATAGCAATGGTGTAAAGTTCATACATCAGACTGAACTTTATATACACCATTCAGTATGTAGCCCACTGAGCTGCTCAGGAGGAAGACACTGGTTACATCACCAGGTGTGTCTAGAGATTACAGAAGTTCACGCTTCTGCAGAAACTCTGATCGCTTTTCTCACTGATGCATCTCCTGCAGCTTGTATCACTGAGCCGCTTGATCTTAATCTGCATCTGAATCTAACAAAATCCACTCAGTTAACTCGTCATTACATTGAACATCTAAAGAGACAATCAGCGAGATGAAGCAACCTTTCTTCAGATTAGTTCTATTTTATTTAAATAACTAAAAAACAGTTTCTTCAGCATGAGTGCTTTACTAAGTCGTTCTATTCTTGATATGCTCTTGCAGATTTCTTCAGGTTTTTTCATATATTCAGTCTCTTTTCTTTCCCCTCCTCTTGACTGACTGCAGAAGATTTGAACCAGTAGTTTTCTGATATTCAGCTGAAATCATTCTTCCCCCTGTCGTGCAGTATATTCTGTGTTACCCCCCAACAGTTGGCCACTTGTTCTGTCCATCCAATGGTGCTCCTTTGCTTTTTGACTGCATCAGCTCGTGGTTGGTGATCTGCCTTACATGTTCTAATTAGGGTCAAATGAGTTAATGAAGTTCAGAGATTTTACCTGTGACAATTTGTGTTATTTGTATTTTTTAAATCATTATTATGTTTTTGCTTTTTTTTTTCAGGTTAATGAAACGAACAAACAAGTGCATTAAAATCTGAAGAAAGACTCATGATTGTGATAAATATGTGATGGAATTTTATTAATTAATCTGTTTGATTTCCAGAATGGCTTTTTTTTTAAAAATCTGTTAATGAACAAACTATAACTTGTAAAAAATAAATGCCTTATACAGTCTCAGTGTATTAAGAATCAGTAAACCTGACAAAACACTGATGACTTAAAGTTTCCAGTGAGTTGCTATCATGGGGATCTACCACAGTTAGAAGCAGGTTTTGTAAAACCAGAAAATCCTGTGTGAAGCTCAAAGACAGCCGGTTAACCCGTCTCAACTCAGTTTGATTTAGAAAGCACTTTAAAAACAACCACTGCTGACACACAGTGCTGTAAACCCACAACTCTCCTCCTGATGCAGCAAAGACTTCAAGCAGAGACTTTGTTCAAGGGATTCATTTCAAAGTTGAAGTTCCAACACATGGCTCCCTTCACAGGAATATTAAAGTTTAACTACAACCAGGCTACAATCCAGCACCTGAAGGTTCTGTCCCACCCCAAAAACTGACATGACATTACGTCATTGTGGGCTGACCATGACCTGATGTCTAAATAACAAGAGCTCTGGCTGTGACATGTTTTTTAAGAAACAAGGATGCTTGGCTAAAAGTATGTCAAAAGTTTTTCTTTTTTTAAATCCAGAACAGCTCACCTTCTGGCCAAGAACGCTGGTTACGTGCAAGCAATGCAGCAACATGAGAAAAGTGAGAACAAAGCAGTCAGATGAAGATTTTCTGACCATCAGCCTCATGGTGGCTGAAACACAGAGAAGGACAAAGTGTTACTGTCCTCACATCCCACACAGCCTGAGGAACACACTCACAACACCTGGACCTGCCTCATGGTGCTGATAATACACAGGCTGGACAACTACAATCAGATGGGTTTTAACATGAAAGAGATAAATGATAATGAATTAAAACTGGGTGGAGTTGAATGAGTTGACTCTCTCTGTCAGATCCACTGTGTGACCAGCAGCACCTGAGCAGGTGGGCGACTTAAAAACACTCAACATGTTGAATGGAGCATGACTCACTAATATTATATATAACAGGAGCACTCAGTGGCTACAGAGGAAGACACACTGACTTGCTCGTACATTTCATACACAAACAAGTACATAAACACTAGGAGCTAGCGGCTACGTGTGACAAACAGTGAAGAACGAGCTTCTACCTGGCGTTAGCCGGGCTAGCTGTCGTACAGGCTAGCGAACGGAGACAGCTGAAGGTTAGCATGAACTCACCTGTTTCACTGAGACCACAGGGCCACAGAGGTTTTCTTTAAACGTTTCCTTCTCTTGAATTAAACCTCACAAACACTCCGACTTCTTCCCGCAAGCATCCCACGTCTGCTGTCAAACGTCCCATCAGGCTGTCATTGGTCCACGTACCGCGTCTTCTTTCACTGCGTCTGTTGAACAGCCGAAATAAGCAACACGAAGCAAGACTGCCCCCTGCTGGCCTGGAGTATGTAATNTCTCCTTGATGGAAGCCTGGCTCTGTGCTGCAGCGAGGACGAAGGCATCAGATCAGACTTGTTATGGGAGATGGCCAAAATTAAACACTCAGACGGGTAAAGAACAAAAAAAGAAACGAAAAACTTGTTTGGGGCATCCTGAGTAAAATACTAAAACTTAACTGACATATACTTCACTTACACGTAGGTCTTACCTGAAAGTCTGTCTCAACGAGCAGGTCCAGCTGAGCCATGTCTTTCTTTAACTCTTCTAGGGGACGATACTTGGACGCCACAGAGTCCTACACAGAGAAATGACAAATATGTTCTTACATTCATGAAAAATGTGCATGTTCTTACTTCTTAGTATTGTGACTTTTTGTCTAGTGGCTCCTTCTAAAAGCTGCGTACTTCCCAGTCTCCATGAATGTGCCACGTATGACAGAGCTTCTTAATTTGAATGCTGCGCTGCTACCTGATGATCTGCATCTTTGCTGGCAAGGTTCAGATCCTCCTTCATCTTCTTCATGGCTCGTTTCAGCTCATCTGGACTGAAGGAGGACTGGGTCTCTTCTTTCTCCCTGCAAACACAGACTTTTACTGCCAACGTTCAGCCTTTATCTTGCTCCTACAACCACCTCCTGCCCCGTGTTCTTTGCTGATGGAGACACACCCAAATGATCAGATTGTAAACGATTTGAACACCAGCTGTGTCGTCCCAAATCCAATGCAGTTTGGTTTTCAAGTCAGTCATTCAATTGATAGAGCAGCAAGCCGTTTTTTTTTTTTGTTTTTTGCTGAAAACGTGAAATCAGTGTTTCTCAAAGTGTATCAATGACGTACCTTCTGCATGCTAATATTGAAATGTGTCTGATAATGCTTTTGTATATGTGCATGGCAATGCTTGTTGAATGTTCTCTCAGATGTTAGCACATGGTTGAATCAGTGTT